CAGGTTTCTTCATTTCTCTGTGCATCACTGTATTTTAGGACATTTCCATGCACTGAAGTATGTGGGTGTTCACTGTGCTGCAGCTCTCGGAAACACAATAGTTACAGAGGTCCATTAACTGCCTGTATTATATAGAAAGTACTATTGGATTGCTCGAGTAGAGAGCAAAGAACAGGAGTAGGACCTCTGCCACCACCACAGCCTTTCTTCCCAGGGAAAGACCAAATGAAGTTGGAACAGTTCACGAACATGAAATGTGCAGAGGAAAGACCTGTCCTCTCCTGACCAGGCACATGAAGAGAGTACTATCAATCCCAGAAACAGCAGGGTACGTGGAGCCTTAATTCATTTACACAATCAGAATGAGCGCATCCAAATGGATTCAATTTCCCTTCTATAATTGTTTCAATTTTATAACACATTGCTAGAAATTCTTCTTGGCAAAAAGATGCAAAAGTAACAAAGACAAATATCAGCCAAAGTACAATGATCCGACTGATCCTTTTGTAACTAACTAAACATAAACAAGGATTAAACATAGCTAACTTCTGTTTACTATTCCAAAGACAAAATCGCTTTTAGAAGAGTGTTTACAAAAAGGGCATATTGTTTCAGACCTTCTGAGATCTAGTTCTCCACAGAAATCATTTGTAACAGTCAAATGTTTATCATTTACAGCATCTCAAACAGGGCAACCCCAGGAACTGGAATGCAGCTGGCAGATGGTGAAAGAAATTAAGCTCATGACATGGTTCAATAAACAGCAAATTACGATAAGGTGTAGGTGCTTCCCACCCCGGGACAACTGCTGCACTTGGGACCTTTTTAGGGCTCCACTGAAACACACCAAAACTTCCTTGACTTCTGTCAACACAAAGCCAGGCAGTAAAACTTGACCCCCCAGGTTACCTCGAGACTGATACCCAGTGGGCAAGCAACCCTTTCCCAGCTCTTCCGTTGTCCTCTTCCCCAGCAGCTGGTCTCCTGCGGAGCCTGGCAGCACTCTCCAGGCAGATAACTACACACCACATGATTAGGAGTCTGGGATAGGGGCATAGGGGATTTGCATAGATCAGTGCTAGAAATGGAAATTTGAGATGGTATTTTCATTTAACCTACTTAAAAACAAAGGGAAATGAAATTCTGAGTATATTCAGTGCAACTTGGATATGACTGTATCCTCTGGGTTACAGGGGAGTGAAAAAAAGACTGCTCGCAGAGCATTAAAGGACCAGTTACAATTATTTTCCTAATTCTGGAAATTAAAACCCATAACCAAATGTCCAAATTGGAAAGTTCTGGGAGAAGGGGCGGATAATATCCTTTGATTTGAGTTTCCCTCCTTTCCCAAATAATTGATATACTCCTCCCTGTCCCTTGAAGACTTTTTTTCTTTTGCACTGCTTTTCCCTGTCTTCCTGTTTGGTGGAGAGTGCCGGAAACCACAGACTGAAGGTATATTTTGGTATACAGGTACCTATAGACAAACACTGTTATCATCACCTTTCCTCATACAGCCGCAACGCTAAACGTACAAGGAGTCTTATGGAAGGACACCACGTAGACAGTCCTGCAATCAGCCTGCTGCCATGGTCTTCCATGCTGGCATCCTTCCTACTCACATTTCATATAATCTCCCTATTTAAAAACCTCTGTGATTCTCAACGTTACCACTGAATAATATATTTATTAATGTGTTAGTGCCACTAACAGTCCCTGAGGCTTTTCTTGGGAATGTGTGTCAGTGTATTGATTCCAGCTCTCCCATCCCTGCACTGCTTTCCTCCTCTGCCAGGCACGCAGGAACGTACTTCTGTGCTGCTTCAGGTCATAATTGGAAAAAAGATAGAAATGTTCGGTATGACTCATACATAATTCAGCTTATCAGCTACCCAGGAGAAATGAGAAGAGAAGGTATGTGCACGTATATTTCTCCTACTATCAACAGAAGAAATAATTTCCAGTTACACTAAGTATACGTAGTTTGGTCACAATAGGATATGCAGTTAGATGGGAAAAATGAGAGACATGGGAGCAGAGAATGAAAGGGCAGTAGGGAACCAAACTGTTAAAAGAGATTCGCTTATGTGAGAATTCCCGATTCCTCCAGGAGACTGGACTCATGCTTCTCTCTTAATATTCAGAATGGAATAAGTTGGCAATTAGAAAGGATTATCTGCCTCTGATCTGTAAAACATCGTAGAAATCTAAATAAAATAAAGCTCCAGATTAGTTAGCTACAAAGACATCTAATAACAGCCTGCTAAACCCTGACTGCGACTTCTGGATTTAATGTTAAGGCCTATGTTCTAAAGAGCAAATTGTGAAGAAGCATTAAAACTTATTGTTATAAAGGGTTTTTAATGTAAAAATCAATACATGCTGTGTATTTAGCAGCATGTAACCATGAGGATGTCTATGACAGAGCTTTGTCATGCACCAGGGACTACTGCATTAGTCAAATTCTTGAAAGGAAGTACAGAATGTCTGCATCATTCAAACTGCCACCTGAGAGCAATTACAGAAATTATTTTAACCCCAGAAGCAGAGCGAAAATGCAATCCTAGCTGACAGTCTTGAGGGTATCAAAGGTTCCACATGAAATTCATCATCTTGAAATACCTCTGCAAAACTCATGTTGGGAAAGTGATGGCATAACAGAGAGGTGGGGCATTTACCATTATTCTTTGGAGGCCATTTAGACTAAACACAACAGCAAGGGCACTGAGTTGCAATATCCACTTTGACAACACGTAAGTAAACAAAGGAATATTAATAATAAAAAAATTCACACTCCCAAAATGCAAAAACAGCATAATCTAAGGCAGACAACATAGAATAAGGTAGCATGACTGAAAAAATACAGACCTGTCTGTAGAAAATCTCAGAAAAGCGAAACAAAATGTTCTTTCTTAAATAAAGACACAGAACTCATCTTCTTCGTCAGTTAAGCCAACAGAAGAGTCACATGTGGCTCTTCAACCTCTGTAATCAAGCTGACAACTCTATATGCATAAGCACATACAAACTGTTATACAGCAAATGTTTCTTAATTTTGCCCATCACGAGGGTGTCCAGCAAGGGGTCTGATACGCTCCAGTTAGAGAGGAAAACACAGGCCCCCAGCCTGCATATCATTTTTGACCTTACGGGATCATGTTAAACTAGCATTGTGCCTGATTAAAGGAAGTTTCCAAACAGAAAAGCAGGGTCTGTGCCTGATGGGTAGTGACTTTTGTTTCTATTGCTCTTAACTTGTATGCATGCACGTCTTTTCCTGTCTCTGGTGTTTCCTAACATTCCCTATTTATGTGGTGGTGTTTTACCTCACCAGAAAAATCAGCGGGAGCACCACTGAGCTGAGAAATAACTGTTGTGCTCCTTTATGCAATGCATGTCTCTCTGGGCCTTTGAACATTTAACACAGAGCAAATAAATTATTAGCGTGTGTGTGCATGTGCATACATATCTAAGATACATAAAGGCAACTGCAACCAAAGGAAGCAGGAATGTGCTTGGAACAGTTGGGTATTCAAGTATCTAGTATCACAAAAATCCAGTTGCAAGAAACATTTACATGCAGATCTACGTGTAAACTGCTGGAAGAGCTCCACTGAGCTTTATGCACTCACATACACGGCTGCAAAGGCAAGAAGTAACAGAAAAGATGTGATTCCCCACCTCTCTGGTAATTTTCAAGTCTATAGCATCTGTTATCCTATTCTTAATAATAGTACTACTGAAGAGCAAGCTGATCTTTTAAGATGCCCCACCTCCAGAAACAAGATACACAATCACATCAAGTACTGAATGATTTCTATGATTCCCATCACCACAGTGTCTGAGCACATTACAGTTGTTCAATGTATTCTTTGTCACAGCGCAGAGAGGAAAATATGATTACCTCTATGCTATAAATGGGGATGGGAGAACAAGGGACAATAGGTAACTTGTCATGTATGGCTGGCACACTCACCGACGGGATAACCAGTCTCCTCTGGTTCAAAATCATACAACAATAAACACTTTCCAGTCTAGTTTTTTCATTACTCTGAAGTTTCTACATCAATCCATATACATCGAGCAATTTGCCTAAGCCTCTTCTAGCTTGTCTTAGTAGAGGCAAGTAAAAAGAAAATTAATTCAGCCAAATGGCCCGGATTTGTAACATCTCCATAGATTTAAAAATGCCTATATATAAACAAATAATACAACACACTGATGTGCTGGAAAAAAACACATTTCCTTAAAAGCAGATAATAATTCCAACAATCTAATATAAAAAAAATCATCAACTGATCAGAAGACTTTTTATATCTAATACGCTGTTCTTCCACAAAATATTTCGTTTAGAAGCAAAATAGCAAGCAAAATAAAACCTGCTCATATGGCAGACAAGTATCAAAATCTATTCTTTAACAGGAGAAACAGAATAACAAGTTGTGACTACAGTGAAAAGTAAACCCAGCTGAATTCCACATCAAACTCAAAATCTGAAGAGCAACCTGAAAATCTATTCAAGAGCTGTGCCGATTTCATCCAGAAGGCGCAGCAACATAGATTATGTTTCTGACTGTCAGATGTAATTCTTAGATACCCTGAAGATGGATATTATATCAAAGCAAACAGATGAGAAAAGTATACAAATACCTCTATAGGTAGCCCTCCAAGTTAGAAATTTCATTGAATTTTTCACTGAATTTTTAGAGTTGGAAGGGACCGTAGAGATCATCTAGTCCAACTCCCTCAACGACACACCTCAATTAGACAATACAACTAAAACACTTTAAAGGAAGTTCAGAATCTGCAATCCTTTCATGATCGTCTCATAAAAGATTAGGTTCTATCACTAGGAGTAATTATAGCTAATGATACAGGATTACACAGCTTTTTCAAACCAAAGTAGAATATCGCCGTGTCACTTAAAAACACCACATCAACATGTATCTACCAAAGCCATATCTTCTGCCACCTAAGGCATGAAAAAACTTCCCACTTACCTTCTAACACTGTTAATTTGGCACTGGTGTTTATCTCCCCAACACTGTTGGTTGCTGTGCATTCATAGATAGCTTCATCTCGATGAACACGCAGGGGCTGTATCCGCAGAACTGATCCTGATCCATCATCAAACTCAATAACCTTTAGCATTGAAAAGAAAGCACTGCTTTATTGATATCTTCTGCATTAAAAACCGAAAGTCAAAACAATCCAGAGGTTAAAAACCAAAACAAAACAAGCCCTGTAAGCTATAAAATACCATGCAATTAGTCAAGCATTCCAAGTCCAGAAACGCAAGAATTTCAGAGTCAAGAACATATTTGTCCTCTGAGGAGGCCAGAACAAATGAAGATCCAATGAGGTTCTTTATGAATCAATTAAGGTTGACAAATTATCAACCTGGTAATAAAGATGTGGATCTGATGATTTAAAACATCTGAGCCATATTTGCACTAATGGTTTTACTAATCACACTGATAGCAATTTAGTGCCAACTTTCACCTTGATGGAAGAGCAGAATGATATACTCCTGTGGGATTAAGAGGAAAATAGTAACAAAACTAGAATAAAACCTTGAGTACCTCCACTGCATGCTAACTCCAGCAGAAAGTGAAGGTTTTTAATGTCCTTCAGCATCGGGTACTTTGCAACTCTGGCATAATCAACAATGATGTAATTACAATTCCTTCCCCAGCATAATAAATTAAGTCCTTAATAAATCATTGCCTTTCCATCCATCCTGCTAAGCTGTAACATGCATTACTTTAACTTCTACATGGAAAAAAGAGGTATTTGTTAGTTTGCAGCTGGATCAGTATAAGCTATTCCTTAATGGCTAGAATGTGAAGGCACAGCCTCAGGCCATTTTTAATGCCAAACTCATCCTTCTCCTATTACTGAGCACAGCAAAAGATGGAAATATTAACTCTTCTGCAGATGGTGACAGCATGAGGGAAAGGCACAAGCCCCCCTCTCCCATCACTTGGGAACCACAGGGGCAGATGAAGAGACTTTGTTCCAGAGACATGTACGTCATCCTTGGACCTGCATTACCCCCATGCAAAACCTTGACACTATTTTTAAGAGCCCTGTTCAGAAGCGTTCCTCACAGCACGAAGACCAAATGTGTGGAAACAGGAAGGAGAAAAATACCATGCACCACAAGACTCTGAGGTAACAGTAAAACCAGGAAGAAATCAAAAGATAGCCAAGACCACCAAAAATCTGATAATCCCCACACTGGAAGGAATAGCCCTTCATTTCTTCATAATAGAAACAGCTTGCAAAAACCCCAAATTTGGGGTCAAGTAGCAGCAGACAGGACAAAGAAATGTGAACATCACCATAGTACATTTTAAGGAATTACTACTTTATTTTTTTAAAATACTCAATTTTAAATTAAGTATGAAACTGTGACAAAATGCTAAACTTTCTATAACCTTTACGCAGGATAGGGCTACTGCCAAATTTTAAAACAAGACAAAGTCAGATGCAGAGATTAATTCACTTCAGTGGTAAGGACTAAAAAAGCTAAGAGATGAAACAGCAGAAAAGCTCTTTTGCCCTTACTATCCTTTGAACAAACACTCTGTGTGAGGAAGGGAGCTACAACTACTAAAGACCTGGCAGACTCTGAGACCAGAAACGCTGTTCATTTGCTAACGACAGATACATCTTTTGTGCAGTAACTCAGCATGTGTACATCAGATTTGTTTATGAATTTATTTCATATCAACTGAATTCCAATTTTCCTCCAAATAAAGGCTAGCTTAGAATCGAGGTAAAATTAGCAGTTATCTAGGAAAATAAGAAACATATTATTCACTGTCTCCAAAGGTAGTAAAGATACCTCAACTACAGATCAAACCTGATGTGAATAAAGGTATGAAATTGCTTATATAAATACATATAATATGTCACAGCCCTCTGGTCAGCCATAGTAAGTAACAAATTCACTATAAGGTTATATTTACTTAGAAATAAGAATGTTTAAATGGTTACCATACAACAAAACCTTTATTAGGGGAAAAATAACAATGTAAAACAAGAGCAAAATTGATTACTTTAATCGAGGTTTTCTGCTCATATACAAAATAATGATTAAAATTGGTGACTTGAATCAATCCGTTCTGGGCAGCAAAGTCATCTTGTGTTCCAGTCAGAAAAGCAAAAGCATCAAAGACAGGGGATTAGAGGAAAGGCAGCAGAATGATAGAAGGGTCACATTTCCAAGGGCAGTTTTAGAGAAAAGAGCACAACTCCAAAAAAGGGAAGTGGAGAAGAAGGTAGAGAAAGTCAGTAAAAAAGGGTTTGCTATTTAAAACATGAACCAAATTGAACCCTTTTTCAAAAGCATTTAACTGCTCTTCCTTCTTTGTTTCACTCAGACTTCAGTTCACAAGGAAGTCAAATTACACCTTCAAAACAACTTCACCATTCCCTTTCCAGGCACATTTGTGGGAGGGATGCCAGTAGCTGTCACTTAGAAAGCCTTCCAATAGCATTTTGGCATTCCACTTCTGAATTCCACTGGGGATGGGAGGCTAAGGAGGCGCCTTATTAATTTTCACAACAAAACCAGAAAATTACTGCTAGATCCAGATCTTATCTGCCACCCACCCAATTCGGTGTAAGCCCCAATCTCCCACTTGAAGAAGGATCTCCTATGTGTGTGCCTCCAGCATCACATCTGAAGGACAACAGCTGCTCTATAGATTGCGTTGCTGCAGGGAAGGAAACTGTAAATAAACTGTAAAGCTCTAGACTCTGTATTATAGTGATGCAGAGACAGCCAGGTTGCAATGACAATTACTGTGTAATTAAGACCTGCAAGCATTACATTGATTACCAAATTTTTATGTTTTTGTAATTACCTCAAACCGCTGAGAACTGACTTTCTTCCCCTTCTTCATCCATGTGATACGAGGTTTGGGCTCTCCTGTTGCCTGACACACAAAAGAGGCCACTCCTCCAGAAATCCCAATCTGATCTTCAGGAGCTTTCATAAACGTTGGCTTGCCTGGAAAAATAACCAAATCATCCCCATGAGGACACAACATCAGATAAGCATGGAATGTTTCATGTTAATCTAAATTATAAGATAATTGGTGCTCCTACTACAAATCCAGGTTGAATGGCCTCGGCCACACAAATTCAGTGCAGACTGCAACATGACAAGCAGAGTTTCTGCTTGAGTACCTTTTTTTCCTGAAATGAATAAAGTCCATCTGGCTTGCCTGTAAATGAGGGCAATAGAAGGCTCAACCCGGCCCCTTGGGCATTCATTCAGGTATATGACAATTTGGAACCATTTTTACGGTTTATTTTTTTAATAAATGGATTTTTGCAGGTTTATAACATGGTCATAGCACTGGAAATTACAGAACAGCTGACACACCAAATCTACAAAATGCACCATACGTTGACATTCGTTTTCCTGAAAGCTGTTAAGTCATTAATCAAAATTAACAGATAGAGTTTTAAGTACACAAACAACAACCTGTAATTTTATTTTAGATGTGGATTGACATAAAAATCCTACGGTCTATAAGTATCTGGAAACCTGCACAGGCTGGCGTATGCTTAGTAAGAAACTAATCACTAAAAGTGAAAGTCAGCAAAGAAACCAAAGTGACATTCAGGCCTGAAAGACTCAGCAAAAATGAAAAAAATATATCACATAACATTTTAATAATCAATAAGACAAGTTTCATGAAAATACAGTTGTGTCTTCTGGATTTACATGACAGGCTTGGATGGATAAAACTAGGCATTCAGGCTAAACATTTCTATTTTTCTTCTGCGCTGATTGTACAAGAGAATTTTGCAGTGAGCGAGCCAAGGGTCATTTTGAAACACTGCTTTGTCCAAGTGAGAAGTGTTTGATGATCTTGTATCCCTAGAAAGCACTAAAACATGTAACTCCACAGAGGGAGTTAACAGAGTCCACCCATGATCTCATCCAGTGCACAGGTCACACTAAGGCCGTGTTTCAAATACAATTGTGATCGACCACCTCAGAGATGAACCTGACCTATAAAGGGGGCAGAGACAGCTGCTGGGATGTAGAAAGGAGTAAGAGCAAAAGGGAAAAACCTGTTCAACCCCAGGTCACCACACAAACGTCCCCAGCTGAGCTGGTAGTGGTTCCCCATCTTCACATTCTCCCCACGTCCACAAGTGTGCCCTTGAGGGAGACGGGGATGACATCTGTAAGCCCAGGTGGTTTAAACACTAAGCTTTTGATGAACTGAGGGCTAAGTTTCCCTGATCTAGGAGGGATACAGACCCAGTGACCCCAAAGGAAGATAAACTTTAAATGCATTTTCCTCATGTATAAGAAATTAAAATGCCATGGGCTCGGTTGTGCATTACAGCTGAGCCAGCCTGAGGAGACATCAAGCTGCCCTGTCCACAGCAAGATCCACAACGGCCCCACAGCTGGGCATAGTCAAGCTCATCATGGCAGTGCCTCTGCGGTAATAAATTTCCGAAGAGGCAAAACGCTTCACAGTGGTGAGGAGCGAGGTAAAAAGTACAAGAAACAGGCCTGTGCGCAACCAGGTCAGAGGGGGAGAAGAAGCTCTGGGTGCACAAAGATACCACAGTGGAGCAGGTATTTCCTTGCAGCCCAGCAAGGTCAACTCACCACAGCTTCAGAGGAAAGGACAAGGTCAGACCAGTTAGGCACCACATGGAGAAGCAACCACCAGTTGAGGACATGCTTAGCAAAGAGGGGCTGGTGGCATGCCACTCTTGAGGCAGCAGGACAGCACATCCCTTCAAAACTTGCAACATCAGATGCTCAATTCAGACTGCGGTCATATGCATGGGAGCCCATCAACTGCCCACATGGACCACAGGCAGGAGGGGACATGTCAGCCCCGAACTCAGGTTATCTGGCGGTGACTGCTGAGATACTAAGTTGCAGGCGTGGACCTCTACTACTGCTGCTTGCTCAGTTTTATTTCCAAAAGGCCTATGCAGACAGTAGATCCACCAAGGTCAGCACTGTCCTCGCAGACGTGGATATGCATACCTTGTCCTCAACTGCCTTCTGAAGGAACATCACAGACTTGACCACAGAAATTCATCACACAGAGGTGTACTGAATTTTCCCATCCTTGGTGAAGGGATCCCTGAGGACTATGCAAAGAGAATAGCTCCAAACCTGGAAAATGCCCTTTATGACATGATAGCGGCTGTCTGCGGTCTTTGGCACACCATTCTGACATGAACAGCCAGCAATTATTAAGTGTGCTTGCTTAACTGATGCTGATTTCACACATTTACTCATCTATAATCATGTCTATTTCTACTTAGTTTATATTTACATATATCTGTGTTTATTCACCTCTCATCTATCCCAGTGAAATGTTAATTTAGTGTTCAGGCTGCTAGTGATTGCAGTGTGATTGACTGCTTTGCTATGCAGTATGCTGAGCTGATGTCTTGTATTGCATTTCAGCAGTTGATTTGTTCTTTTGATTTTCTGTTATTTACTCTGTAATCTTAGTAAAATAGTGTAAATTTTTCAAATGACATATAGAATCCAAATACAACAGAATCCAAAAAACTTCTGTCCTTGAAGAATACAATGCAATTATATCTCTCACTGTACACCTACTCCTCAGCTTGTACACTGAGGACTTACTTTACTTTTGTACATTTTTTAAAAAATCAATACTATTAAAAACCAGAACAAAAGCAAACTGAGTGTTCACAGGCAGTAAAACCTAAAAAACCCGCTGCCTTGTTCAGCTTGAATTTACATTGTTGTAATGAATCTTTTTCCCCTGCACATTTAATTGAGCAACACTGATTTCTGGAAACCATCTAAATCCACTGAGACTAGTCACAAAAGTATTCCTGTATATAAACCAAATACTCACAGTCTGGGAAAGGGTACTTCTGCAATGCCATTTTAAATGTTTCTATTACCTAAAGTTTTTAAATGGAAGGAAAGTACTAATTAAGCAAACCTAAAATCCTGAGTCCTGGCCCCAGGACAATACATTCGGGCATGGACATACATATTTTTGTACTGATTGGTAGTTCTTACAACAAGTCCCCAAACTGATTTCAGTGAGAGCTAATAGAAGTGCAACAGATCATCCATTAAAATCTTGGTGCCTGTGGAAAATGCATGTTAATTGGACTACACTCCCTCCACACCTCCCCTCCAACCAATGTCTCTTCAACTCTGCTGCCTCGAGGCTGCCCTGGGACACATCACTAGTTACCTCCAAAGGGCAGCAGTAACAGTCACTGGGGGTAAGGCCAAGTGATGGTCCAAGCAGTCTTTTTTTAACCTGATTTGAGCGTTTGCACTCTTAGGTTAGCCCTAGAACACAACCAGAAAAAAAACAAACAAGGATGTACTGAAAATAAAATATTTAACCTGTAACCTAGTCCTCCTCTTTTTCTTCCCTCTTAAATTCAAAACGAACAGTCTCCTCAAAAGATTATGCACATGCCAAGCTTGAAGTTAACTGCTTCTTGTTCTAACAAACTACAAAAATGCAAAAAACTGAAATGTCTTTCACAGTGAAATCCTGCCTGGTCCTTAAATCATCAGGGAAAAGACAAAGCTGAAGATTTTTTATTGAAAGTTTAAAAAAGAAAAAAAAAAAGTGTGATTGTATTCCAAAGGCAAATCTGTAAAATACCAACTTGAGAAGGAACCTCCCGGGCAAGTCTTGGGTGACAGCAGGGAGAGGTGCTGGATGGCTGAGTGCCCATCACACCCACCTTTCCTTACTCCATCGCATGGAGTAACAGCTGCAGACTAGTTTATTTGTCATTTGATAACTCCAAGTCCAAAAAACACCAGCCTCTCTCTTCCTAGCCTCTCTGCTCAGTGTCAGATCCCTGGAGCACGTTCAGTCCTCACCCTCTAAACTGATTCTTGCTCCTCATTTCATAACCAAGCTCGTACTACACCAGTAGAGGAAATTACTGCTATCATCATTTCTATTCACTCATAAGCTTTAGGGAGGAGAATGGGAAAACTTTCACTTTCTTGCCTGAAATTTTCCCTATTTGGTCTTTGCTTAGAAGTAAATTATTCTAGAGAGCTTACAGGAATAACACAGTTCTGAGGAGGAAGACCGTGAAAAATAGAATATTTTAAAGAAACAGGCTTCATCTTATTTGGCCGAGGGCTGAAAAATAACAACTTGCTCAGACATGCTCCCCATTGAGGAACTTTTTAAATAAATAAAAAAAAAAAAATCAGAAGAAAAGGACTCTCCTTTCACAGTTGAAAGTGTTGAAAAAGTCACTTGCTGAGCAAGCACAGATTCCTGGATAATCCTATAAAGTGAATCACAAGGAGGGCCTCGTGGCGTGGAAGAGACGCTCGCAGAGATTTAGGCACACACGAGTCTACCTCACTATGCTGGAAAACAGCAGCAAACTCACGCACAGCCCTGGCCTGAGCGAGGGTATACAATGCTCTCAAAAGAAACGCTCCCTCAAATTACATTTTAAGAGGTCCACAAGGACATAGGTACCGAAAGCCAGAGGGAAAAGTACAAGCAGACACGTTAAGTATGTGCTCATCAGTAAGGTTGTTGTCTGCCCTCCCCAGCAAAGGCAAATAAGATGGGTTTGAGGGGTGAAGCCCTCAAAGGCAGAATCTCTATTCTACTAAAGAGCCACTGACACAGCCTTCCTGCAGGGCAACTCGGAGTCACAGCCAACCATGAAGATGCATCTCTCTCACCCATATTTTATATACAAAATCACTGTTGTTCTCTGCTATTCTGAACAATTTGTTTGTTATGAAACAACTGTTATAAATAAGAAAACCAACATCTATTTAAAAATTTGCCCTACCAAACACTTGTAGCAGACTAGTAACACTTCAGTTCTCTTTTCCAGGTTTTCCTTCCTTTATCAGAGCAGTTAAAAGTCACACCATCACACGTGTTGTTTTTAGGCTGTGCAGCTTCTCAGTGAACCCAACGGACCTTCCCAGGGAGAAAAGTCTCTTTTGCCAGATTTCCTCCCAGGCTG